CAGTAGTGGTTCTTAAAGAAGCAGAGTAAATAGGGGGAAGACAAGGGTAATTTGGAAAAAGAAATGTGCTCACTGTGTCAGTGCCCAAGAGGAGCCACTGTCCTATGGGCACCAGGAACTAAAATGTTTAAATGATCCTACTTTCCCCTCTTCTTTTCTAAGTTTCCTAGATGCTTTGAAATGCATATATTTCATTTATAATCCTAAAAAATCAATCAGAAATACTCAGAAGGAAAGCAAAAAGCAAACAAAAACAACATCGTAAATTTACCCAAATGAGGATGAGACTGGTAGTCTTTAAAATGTGAAACGAACCAAGTTTGGACTGAAGCCTTCTCATATTCCCATCAGTATTCCTATTCAGATATGGGCGTTCTTCATCACTCCAAGAACCCTCAAACGGCATTCAAATTAGGACCATCTGTCCCCAAAATTTAAACTGCTGAACAGTGTTTTCTGAAATTTTTGGAAAGGTAAAATCTGATATCTTATTCTGAGACCAGCTCAGACTTAGTTAATTAAGTTACCATCAACTTCAGCCCTCTTACAGGAGCTCCCGCTGGGTTACAGCAGTGTTGGCCAAGGTTAAGGTCATCACAATTACAGATTCTGGTTATTATTCTAAGGGTCTTCTTTATTATGAAAAGACATTAACATATGAGCAAGGGGTTCACAGTTCAAGCCAATGAAAAGTGGAAACTGTTTAAAACTGTGAGAGTACCTGTTAAGTCAAATTGCCATTAAGTTAAGGTTTATATTAAACCTCAAATTTATGAAGTATAGAGATACAATTTTACTGAGTATAGAGATGTATAATTTATGTAATTATAATGTAGACATATATACACAAGTATTAATATGTATGTGTGTGTTATGACCTCAATTGTATCTCCCCCCAAATCATACATTAAAATCTTAACATCTAGTACCTCAGAGTATGAGTGTATTTGGGGATAGGGCCTTTAAAGAGGTAACTGAGTTAAAATGAAGTCATTATGGCAATCTGCTATAACTTGTGTTCTTATCAGGAGGAAAAATTTGGACACAAACATACACAGTGAAGACCATGTGAAGACACAGGGAGAAGATGACCATGGATAAGCTAAGGAGAGAGGCTTCAGGAAAAACCAACCCTGCTGACACCCTAATCTCAGACTTCCATCTCAAGAACTGTGAGAAAATTAATTTTTGTTATTTAAACCACTCAGTCTATGATACTTTGCTATGGTAGTCCTAGCAAACTAATACTGTGCATATACGTGTGTAATCTGAAACATAATTGTGACTCATGTTAACTAGAGTCACCCTTACCACATAATATCTCATTTCAGAGATTGTGTACAGTCTAAGATCCTCCCCAAGATTCTTACAAGCTCCTAGGGGCTAGTATCCTTTTAGCTTCAACCTCTTGCCTCTCCTCCATTACTTCAATTCAGACGTCATTTCACAATATCCAACTTCTGTGGCCCTTATTCTGTGCTAACCTAGGGTGGGCCTCAGGTCTCTCCATCAATTTCCATCAAGCAAAATAAAATAAAGTAAAATGCTAACAACAACCAAAAACAAAACAAAAATAAAAATCCACCTACATACAAAGTAATAATGAACATGGCTTACTTTATTATCCCAGAAATGCAAAGAACTTAAAATTGAACTTTAGCTATCTCTGCTCTAACATAGTCCCTTAGCCATTTGCGCAAGTGGGAAATCCAGATTCTTGCCATATTCTAACATTATAAGTCTTATTTCTCCCTCCTCCTCTTTCTCCTTCTCTTCCTCCCTCACTACCTCCTCCTTCTTTCCCCTTCTATGCCTCTCTCTCCCTCCTTCCATCCATTCTTGATATACCCTGATCTCTACTCTTTTTGACTCTTCCCCCATTCCCAGCAGTTTGCTATTACTTTTTGTGAGTCTGACTTACTGTTAACAGGATCCCTTTTTCTACCTCAAGTAGCTAAATTGAACTATTCTCTCAAAGACAATTCCCTTCCTCAGAAAAATTCTGGACTCAACCATTAAAGTAATACAGTTTTACCCTTGCTACATTGTATTTAGCCAAGTTTTTATAAAGAGTGAAGGTAATTCATCAAGTTGTTTTTTCACCTTGATACAAAAGAATATAACATCAATTAGATACATCATCTAATATCAATGCATTACCCTTCTATATAATCTTTAAATTGACTTAGCTCTAAAACCACTATTAAACCTGTTGGAAATTATTTTTAAATTTTGCAGTCTCATTGGAATTTTTAACCACACATATGAACTCTGAACCTTATTTATTAAGCTGTCAACTGTTGCATTCAGCAAATGATTTAAACTATCATTTCATTTTTTTTTTCAACGTTTATTTATTTTTGGGACAGAGAGAGACAGAGCATGAACGGGGGAGGGGCAGAGAGAGAGGGAGACACAGAATCAGAAACAGGCTCCAGGCTCTGAGCCATCAGCCCAGAGCCTGACGCGGGGCTCAAACTCCCGGACCGCGAGATCGTGACCTGGCTGAAGTCGGACGCTTAACCGACTGCGCCACCCAGGCGCCCCTAAACTATCATTTCAAAGAGGAGAGTTTGAAAACTAAGAACCTTTACACTTGTCACATTTTATAAGGAACACAGGAAAGAGGGCTGAATTGTACCTTTGTTCAAAAGATCTTCCACACAATTAATATGTAGTTTGCCTTTTTGAAGAATGTCAGTTTACGGTTTGAGGAAGAAAATGAAAATAAACTCTGGTTCAAATCACTTCTTAGGAAACAGGCTACTACTGCCACCTGGGGGAGGTTCTTTCTACTTCATTCAAGAAGGCCAAATGTGCTTGTCAGATGAATGAAAACAGTTCATGTTTTCCTTGTTATATCCACACAGGAAGACTTTTTAACTTTCTGCCCATGAAGTCATAAGGCATTCCAGATGTCTCCAAGATTCCTTCACACAGAAATACACACTTCACAGACTTTTTGAGAGGTACAGAAGATGAACCAGAATATAACCATACTAAGGTTTCTACATATTACATACTAAGAAGATATTTGGAAAAGTATAGGTTATATACTAAAAAGAGAAAAAAAATAAAGTTTTCAATAACAAAATGAAACCCAAATTTTAAGCATAATGTATCTGGCCTCAACTTACAGTCAGTTGTACTCCTTTTCTGAAATATGCTATCATTAATTGATATGGAAACTACACGTGCACATATAATCACACTAGTGATTTCATCAGTTAGGATGAGATAATAAATTTCAATTCCATGGAAATAGCCAAGGGTTTTCTTAAAGAATTTTTGAATTTATGAACTAAGTACTATTATAAACTCAGTATCTATTTATTGCATGAATATTACATATCTACCTGTTGAAAGTTTTGACCAAGTACTGATATGGTGCTCATCATTTACAATGGAAATAATTGTGACCATTGCTTTTGAATGTCTACCTTGGGCTTAATAGTTGTCAATCTTGCTTTCTTTATACTATGGATAAGTGGTTACCTATCAGCAATGCCCTAAAACAAAGACTTTAATCTTGGAAATAAAGTTTCAGGAAGTATCTGTTGAAATGACTAGTCTGTCAGATGAAAAAAAAAAAAAAAAAGTCAGTGCTAATTAGAGGAAGATAACTAACCATTTATAGAGAGGATTCTGGTAATAGATTAACGAAATAAAATACATACAGTATCAGTCCCAGAGTGGTACAGTAACACCGTCAGAAGGTTAAAGTTCAACCCGAGAACAACTATACCAGCTCCAGGGAAGTCTATGGAAAAAGTATTTTTAAGATTGGAAAAGGTACGTGACATACAGAATATGTATTGGGATTCCATAATCATTATTACTTTTTAAATCATGCATTTGATTAAGGAGTAAAAAGAAATCTGAGTGACTACGGTTTAGCTGATAGGGCTGAATGAGCTGGGTGAGCTGGAATCACCTTGAGGGACTCCAAAAATGAGTATATTTTGTGTGGGGGTGTGAGGTTCCTTCAAAATGTTCATATTAGAGTCTAGGGAGGGTGGAGTGAGGGGCATTGGAGGACAAGAAAGGCCAGAAGGACATAAAACTGAATATTAGAAATACAAGTTATAAGCAAAAGTAATAAATATGCAATATTAAGTGTCCTTATTTCTGAATCAGCAATTGAGTATACTTGGCAATCGGCCTGTAGCTCTGCTTTACTGATCTAATGAAAATTATCAGTGACCTTAAAATGCTTATTTCTGCACAGATTACCTCCATGTTAGGGGCGTTGTAAATGGAATAGATTCTCTCAAGATTCTCCCTCCTAACTGAGCTACACAATGTGTTGGGCTTTACTTCCTTTATTCAAAAGCCAGTAAATTACTATGGTGGACCATGGAAATGATTTACTAATTATTTCATAACAGAAATTACAAGCAGTTCTCATTTTCATCAGAATGCTGCCTGGTTGTAAAAAAAAATAGTAAACAAAAACAGAAATATTTAACATTATTCATGTTTCATAGGGGACAAACACTCAGGAAGTCAGGAAAGATAATTTTTTGCAGATGCCACTTGTGTATTCATGGGGTGGGGAGGTGGAGAAGTATGGGATGTTATTTAAAAGGCAGGAAGGATCTGTTTCTTCCACTCTTCTGTTCCTACTTGTCCTCCAACAGTGATTAATTTTTCAATACTGCTGCTAGCCTTGTTAATGAAGTCAGAAACATCAGCACCCATTGCTAAATGGACTCACCTACCACATTGATGAGTTAACATATTCCTCCTAAACATGGTTTACATTATCTTCATGCATTTTGTTTCCCCCCCGCTCATTTTCCTACAATTATTGCTTCCTCCTCTCTTCTTTATCTATATTAAACTTTTCTCTCCTTTCCCACTGCAAACTACCAATATTCTTTCAATCTTCCTCTATCACTGTGTTGTCTACACTAACGTGGAGAACTCCTCCGTGTTTTAGCCACCATGAATGAGGGGTAAGTAAACCAAAGGTAATACCTGCAATACCCCTGGCCAAGTAAGATGCCTTACACTGGGTGAGTACAGAAGTCTAACTGCTTATGCTGACCCTTTGTTTACCCACAGACATGACAGACTCTAACAAGATGATCATCAACTTGGCCCTCTTTGGCATGACTCAGAGTGGAAAAAGTTCTGCTGGGAACATTCTTTTGGGAAGCACTGACTTCCACAGCAGCTTTTCTCCATGTTCTGTGACCAAAGATTGCTGTCTGGGCCGCAGTTGTCACCTCTGTGGCTTCATGCGTCGAGGGGGGCAAGAGATAACCCTGCAGATCCAGGTGTTGGACACTCCAGGTTATCCACACAGCAGACTGACCAAGAAGCATGTGAAACAGGAGGTCAAGGAGGCCCTGGCACATCACTTTGGGCAAGAGGGTCTCCATCTTGCACTGCTGGTCCAGAGAGCAGACATGCCTCTTTGTGGACAGGAAGTATCTGACTTAGTCCAGATGATTCAGGTAATACAAAATAGGCAATTACACTAATGCCATTATTCCTATTTGAAGGACAATTATCCTAACAGGAAAGCACTATGACAATTTGATTAAAAGAGTAGTTTAAAGCAAGTTTAAAACAAGTGCTAGTCACATAGAAATGGTAAAAATTACTTGATCTTTCCCACCAAGAACCATTTTTACAATTTCCTTTAGAGGAATTTGGTTGGTAATTTTGCAGCTGGGCCATAGGACTCTACCCACCCCCCTAAAAAATAAGATGCTAACTTCAGAGGTTAACTAACCTCTGAATAAGTTTGTAAATGTGGTCTCCACTCGATCTGCATCAGAATCAACTGGGCTGTCATTAAAAATGCATATTCATCCAAGCCCCACTGAAAGAGAATCACAAGAGTAGAGCCTGGGTATATGCATTTGCATAAATTTTCCATATATTTCTTAAAAACAGCCAAGCTTAAGAACTACTAAAACTAAAATACTGACTTGCATCCATTTAATATCAAGGGGACAATCTCTTTTTTTTTTTTTTTTCTTTTTTTGAGAGACAGAGAGAGAGAGAGAGGGAGCGGGGAGGGGCAGAGTGAGAGAGGGAGAGAGAATCTTAAGCAGGTTGGGGAGGGGAGCAGTCTGATGCAGGGCTGGATCTCATGACCATAGGATCGTGACCTGAGTCAAAACCAAGAGTTGGACACTTAACACACTGAGGTACGCCCCCCCCCTTTTTAAGGGGACAGTATCTTACAGTTCACAAACAAATAGGTGTTCATTCACTGATTCAATCATTGCGAACTGTATTAGGTACCTGCACAGAGCTTAATGATTAGTGAACAGTACATGAGCCCTGCCCTCAAAAAACTTACAGTCTAGAAGAGATGAATAAACAAATATAAGACAGCACCAAAGTAGTGTAATGTATGGACAAGGGGAAAGGAGGTTTCACTCTGACTTATATCATGGCAAACATGCACAGAAGATCTATGCTTTATTTTTTAGGAAAGAAATAAAGAATTTCAGATGCTTTGTGTGCCTCATCATCTGTAGGGCCACTAACTGATCTATGATAGCCAAGAGAAGACCACAGGGACCTCAGTGTGAACATAAATAACATATGCCACCTTTGCCTAGTGGTCCATTCACGTTTGTTTATTCATTTATTATAAGTCACTATCTTGGAAGCTTGTTCAGCTAGTCTAGGAGAGGAGCTGAAGATAGGGAGAGGTTCTGGGTATGGCTATAACTAGGAAATGGAGGGAGTAATACTTGCATACAGTATAGACATATATGAACCAGGCCCATGTAAAACCAACAATTCCTGGAAACTGCTCCTTGAGCTGCTCCATTCCATTCAGTGTCTTGATTCTCTAGTCTGGGGCCAACCAAATTTAGCTGCTGGACTTGACTAGCATTACTCAGTAGACTTGCTTAGTCATTGAGATAAGAGAACTCATCATTACTAGAAGCTCTACAGGTAAATTACATGGTGAATAGAGAGCAGACATTTCTCTGATCATGATGTAGGGTTACACTTAAAAAGACAGTATACTTAGCTTCAAAGGAATATTTTCTTCCCTTTAACTACTAAAAGCGTAAGACTGTTCTAAATGACACATTTTTTTTCAGTAACTGCATGTTTCTAAAAATGAAAAAAAAAACATATCACAAAAAACTAGCGGAAAAAAATAGGGTGACAAGAGCATAAAAACATAATCCTCATCATCCAACTCCTGAAAAATCAAGGACATGCTGTACAAAAGTAGAGAAGATGATTGCAATTAAGAAACAATGTGTAATCTAAGAAAACCCACAAACCTCCCCTAAACTATGAAAGCCTGCATGTCAAACAATATTTCTGGTAGAAACCAGATGGGGGAGAAACCTGTTGCTATTCCATCAGTGTAATTTTTTTAAGTGTATATATTTATTTTGAAAGAGAGAGAGAGAGAGAGAGCGCGAGAGCAGGGGAGGGGCAAAGGGAGAGTGAGAGCAAGAGAATATCAAGCAGACTCCATACTATCAGCACAGAGTCCGATGTGGGGCTCAAACCCACCAACCACGAGATCATCACCTGAACCAAAATTGAAAGTCAGACGCTCAATTGATTGGGCCACCTAGGCACCCCACCATCAGTGTAATTTTTAAACAAGTTTTAAAATTCATTTAAAGCTGCCATTAAATAAACATTTGGCTTAAAGTATAGGTGGATATAATTCAGTAAATTCAGTAAGTGCACGAATATTTCTCAAAAACTAACCTCTCTCCTTATGCCTCCAAATTTTTCTCTATGCTGGTACTATGCTTGGCCAAAAGGGGCATTTTAAAAGGCATACATTTTAAAAACAGATTTTGTTTTCCAGTTTTAGGATATAGAACACTACTGTAATCCCCTATTTTTTATATAAGAGAAGTTGATTCATACATGTCTCTCTCATCTTTGAAAAAGGTATCTGGCATACAGCCACGTTCTCCTACCACTGCCTTCCTTAAGCCAGTGTCCAGGTCATGACTTAAAGGCAGGGAGGAGATAGGCTAGAGTAAAACTCAGATTCAGAATTTTTTTTTCTAAAATAAATATCTTTTCCCTCCCAGGAAAACTCAGCAGCCAAGATTTTAGTAATCTTCAGAGGGGCCCATGACCCCTGGGAGGCACTGCAGTCCTATTCTGGGCTTCCATCATAATTTTTGGTTGAAGATCGCCTATGCACAAGCTGGCTGTTTATGACCTTCTTCCTGAAGGTGCTTAAGTAACTGGTGGCAGCCATCTGGATATGCTCACAGATTGGGAGCAGCTGCAGAATGTCTGAATATTCAACAGGACCAACAGCTGTTAGGAAGGAGCAAGGAGTTGTTAAGGTCCTCTGGTTCCAGACACACCCTGGACTGCTTTTTCTTCCTGGTTTATGCAAAATGGGGAATGGAATATCTGCCTTCTCCCCTTTCCTCTCCTCCTTTCTGGGGGCGCTGCTCCCTGTCATGGAAGGAGTCAACAACGCCAATGCCAGAAAAGTAACCTCTTCTTTCCTGTACCTCCCTATTCCCTCTTTAAATGTCTCTTTTAATTTGTGCTCTTAATATTTTTTAGAGGGGTTATAGGCTGCCAGCTATGACAAATGAAACAATTCCCCAAATGATCCCTTTTTATTTATGTTAGGCCTTCGTAATTTATAGCAAAATGGTGGAGATGTCAGTGAGTCATCTCTCCGAAACTGGGAAATAAAGGGAATGATTCATCTAAATATTATCTGACTATCACTTGAATGTTATTTAAAAATCCACAAGTAATGAATCAGAGAATACAGAATAAAGTTACCTTAAGAAAAGTTCTAGCAAGCAGCCAAACTGCACAAGGAATTGAATCCAGGAATTGACTAAAATCCAAATTCTTTCCACCATCAGGGCATCATGTGTTATTACTAATATACAATCAGGTTTCAAGCATGTATTTTTGATTTAGACTGAACTCAAATGTTGATGTTATAGGTGTGTGTGTATACAAAAGGCTCAGAAAGGCCAGTGCAAGGCCTGAAAATACTTAACAAACATAATGGGCTTAGTTGTTTAATACCATTTAGTTGAAAAATAAGCCTTGTTACAATTGTAGATATATGACTAAAAATGTTACTAAGAGTTTCTTGGCTTGATTTCCTCACTTATAAAATGGGGATAATTTTACCTATGTTAAAAATTTTTTGGGTTATATTTAATGAATATAATGTGCTTGGCATTGTGCCTGACTTACAGTAGGTTCGCAGAAAATTACTACCATTGTTATCATTTTTATTATTGTCACTACACAAATTATAATGAGTCCTTATTCAAATGAATTACTAGATTATGAGCAACCTATTAATAGAGGTTAAGAGAACAGGTTCTATAGTAAGATATACTTGTGTTCAAGTTTCAGCTTACTTGTTTTGTGACCTTGGGCAAGTAATTTCTCTAGATTTCAATCTCTTAATTGGTAAAGTGGGAAAACAGCAGTGTCTCCTTTACTGGGTTATTTTCAGGACTAATTTCATATTATAACAGTAAATTAACTCAGACACTAGCACAAGGCAAGTGCACACCAAATGTCAGCTATGGTCATAATTTTGTTAGTATCTGTCTTATGCTAAAATTAGGACATGTTATTTGTAGCCTTCTTTGGGACTTTCTTGAGAGATTTCAGAAGAAAATCAGAGTGAAATCAAGCATACACAGCCCTGATGTATAAGAATTTCCTTATTAATTTAGAAAAAAAATCTGGGAAGAAAATTCACTGGCTTACTAAGGTTAAAGTGAGAAGCTCTAATTTAGTGGGAAAGACATGGGCCTGGCAGTGAGGAGACCTCTGTCACAGGCCCAGGCCTTCCAACAATCAGCTGTGCAGCTTTGGCAAAGTCATTTAACATCAAAAGTCCACAATATCCTCATCTGTAAAATAAGGCAATTTGGACACATGATCTCTAAGGCTGAATATTCTCTGCATCTAACAACGTCTTATCATTCAGTTCTCTGAGAAGGTAATGTGGTGCTTTAAGTGGGATGAGAGTAAGGGAATAGTATGAAATATAAAGAATGGCCCTTATTGTCCTCCTGTTCCATGATAATTTTTCTCTCAGTTGATGTAATAGTTGGCTTTTTAAAATTTCCCCCCGAAAAAGTCCAGATGCTATGATTTCATCAACCACAAACAAATGGGGCAGGGCTGGTGAGGTCCTGGGAAAATGAACATAATTCCTGGAAAACAAAGTTTATATCCTAACTAGTTGTCCCAAAAGGACTAGATGGACTCATACCCATTAGCACTCTGAAACCAAACAATTCATGATTGATTGTAACATTTCCATCTAGCTTAGTACTATGTTTAAATTATTAACACCAGATAACTTACATTAATTTATCTTGCTCTTGGATTTTTATGTGAGGTATCAATCAACTGTGATTATTCTTTCTCTGGGTCCACAGAGAACACGTTTGGCCACTAACACGATGACTATACACCAAGCGACACTACTTTCAAATAGTCAACTATTTTGCAGCCAAAAATGAATCTAAAGATTATAAGCTAAATCAACCATTCCCTTCTATTGTTGGCAGTAACTCAAAAGTGCAATTTCTCTCACAGTTTAGGACATGAGCATCCTTTCATAAATAATTATCAACATGTAAAAACTTCTGAGTGGTTGAACACATGGACTTTTAAGTGGTGTCGCACTTATAGATCCATTTTCCTTAGGTGGTTTAACTCATTTTTCCTGAATGTTATTATAGTTTAAAGTATAGGAAATGTCTGGTGGAGACAAAAACAGAATGTGTTAACGTTACAACCCAGAAAATCAGGAACTAAAGACATACCGTAAAAGTTATACCATTTAATGCAGTAAGTACTAACCAGCAAGAGAAGAATTCTATATTATATAACTCAGGAAGGGACCACTTGAGCCAAACAGTTTATTTAGCATGAATTTTTATTATAGTGATGTTTTAAAAATATTTAATGATAAATGTGGTTCATGCATCAACCAACACCCAGAGGGTAGGCCTGGGGGTAGCACTCAAGAGGTTAAGGTGTCTATTTATTAACTTGAATTAAACATTTCAATATCATAACAATCAATATAAACACATCAATCATGTACTTGGTGAATATCAGAACTGGCTCTAAATTTGAGAAACTTTCAGAGATAAGAACATTCAAGGATTAATAATTACACTTTATAGAAATAAAGGCCCAGTACTATACAATTCCCAATAATGCTCAATCAGTCTCTTTACTTGGTGTGTCTTCACAGTCTGATAACTCTCTTCTTGATGCCTACACTCAAAGCATCATCACATGCTAGAAACTCATGCTGACCCCTTCCTCTACACTCACTTTCCACCTCCACCCCAAATTGGGCTAAATGTCTGCCTCTAAAGCACCAATATATTTTCTATCACAATACCTAAAATTAAATCAAATTGAAAGTATTTTCTTTCCTGCCTGCCCCTCTTCCTCAGTTTTAAGTTTAGGTAGTACAAACAATTCTCCACTAGACATAAGCAGAAAGTTTATCTGTCATGGTCCACTCTTTGTCCCTGGAACAAAGTAAACCCCCAATAAATATTTGCAGAAGGAATAAATCACCTAGAATTCTTTTTAAAGTTCAAATTCCCAGGATCCATCCCTAAAGATACTGATGCATTTTTAGCAAGCATCCCAAGTGGTTCTGATGTAAATAACCCAAGAATCTTTTTATTCCCAGAATCTAAATCTATTTAGCACTTCATTAATTTTTTAGCCATTTGTATTAATTTGCTAGGGCTGTTGTAACAAGGCTGCACTACCTGGGTGGCTTTTAAGTAACAGAAATTTATTGTCTTTCAATAAATTTGGAGGCTAGAAGTCTGAAATGAATGTTAGCAGGGTTAGTTCCTTCTGAAGGCTGTAAGTAAAGAATCTATCCAAGAGTTCTGTCCTTGGCTTATGGATGACTGTCTTTATGTTTACATGGCATTTTCCCTTTATTCTTATCTTTGTCCAAATTGCTGTTTTATAAGGACACCAATCACATTGGATTAGAGGCCCACTCACAATGACCCTATTGTCAAATAAAGTCACATTCTGAGGTATTAGGATTTCAACATATGAATTTGGAGGGGGGTGGGTACACAATTCAACTCACAACACTAGTTTATTCTGCAATGCTTTGATCTTCTCTCACAAGGAACATGTTACAACATACTGAATATGACAAATTTTGCTATGTCACTTTTAGGTAAAATGTGATGTTGAAATTACACATATATTAGATTTACACAAGAATTATCTTTTTTACAAGTTAGGTTAGGTAAGATTTTCCTAATTTGTGTTCTGAAGGCACATAAGAATATGCCAACTAAAGTACTTTTTAAAAAATCCTTTTGTAAAGTTTAGAATCTGTTAAAAATAATTATTCATTGAATGTACTGATCTTAAAATTTCAATTCAGATTTTCTTCAAGCAGGCCATTTTTAGAATTAGATATATATAATTATTCAATGGTATAGACAAATTTTAAACAGATATGAGGAAAATTTTGGACTTACTGAGAAAAGTGTTTCTGAATTTATTTAAAAAAAATTTTTTTTCAACGTTTATTTATTTTTGGGACAGAGAGAGACAGAGCATGAACGGGGGAGGGGCAGAGAGAGAGGGAGACACAGAATCGGAAACAGGCTCCAGGCTCTGAGCCATCAGCCCAGAGCCTGACGCGGGGCTCGAACTCACGGACCGCGAGATCGTGACCTGGCTGAAGTCGGATGCTTAACCGACTGCGCCACCCAGGTGCCCCAAGTGTTTCTGAATTTAAAACACAAAATGCAGACTACATGCAAACCCATGAGAACTACAGAACAAAAGAGAAATTTTATAGGAAAGTACCACTTTATGTCCTAAAGATTAAACTTCAAAACTAAAGACTCAAAAACAAATAAATAAAACCCTAAACCTTCCATTTGAGATGACAGTGAGGTCTACATTCCAAATTAATCCAACCAATATCTAGTGAGAGTTTACAATGTGCCAAAGCTTTGACCTACATAGTAAGGCATAGACTCTGCCTTCCAAAAGCTACTGGTCAAGTTAGAGAGATAAATGTGTAAACAAATAGTCTGATAAATGCCAGACTGTGCCAGGAATTTAGTTGGTAACCGTGGTCTCAAGATGTTTAAATATATTGTCCCACAGTTGCCGTATTTTCTATTATTTACATGTCTTGACTCCTTATTCCCTTCCTCCTCCCTTCCTTCCTTTCCTTCTCCCTTTTCTCTCTTGCTTTCATTTTCAGTTTTTCAGCCTTATAAATACCAATCCTGTATTTGTTACATACATTGAAAATAGTTTCCCAAACCATCTTTCAATTTTCTCAAGAATTTTTAAACCAGTTTGTCCTGATATCCTTCTATGGATTTGTATTCAACCTCTCTATACATCAGTTTCTCCATATTTAATGGAAATAATACTAGTATCTTCCACAAAGCATTATGTTGAATTTCAAAATAAATAAAGCATGTAAAGTACCTAGCATAATATCTAGCACTAAATAGTAGTTGTTCTTCCTTCCTTCTTCTGATTACTAGAGGTCCTGGATATTTCTTGTTATGTTCATTCCTAACTATTTTATATCTTTCCAAAAACTCAAAAATAAATAAAACCCTAATAAACTTTCTATTTGAGATGATGGTGAGGATCTAAATTCCAAACTGCTATTATAAACTGGTAGCAGATTTGAAAATATTTTGATAATGAGAATATTTGGAATGAATGGAATGTCATTTTACTTTCACAATGCCATGATTTCATATAACTTTGTAAATATTTTAAAAAGTTAAATGGTTATTCCTAGACATCTTCCATATTGTATGAACAATTTGCCACATGCTGGCATTTCTGCTTTACATCAGCTTATTTTCACCAATCAAACAAGAATTTATTATATAACCAACTTCCATATATCACTAAACAAAGGAACACCAGTCTTCAATGTTTTTCAACCACAGTAGAGGAAGTCATCTGATAAATTGGACTTGATTCTAAGCATGTGAAGTGAAGAGGATGCGAGTGAATCACAATAATATTTTGTAGCTGTTTCAAATCACTAAATGTAATTTGATCTTAACTTTTCCATTGTATGACATCTGACTAATCAATAGATTGTAACCAGATTTTATAATTACAAATCCTTAGAAGACACTTTTGGTTATCATGATAACACAACATTTCTACAAAAAGAATACGACAATTCCCTTGGCCCAAGTCCTCTGACTTAAAGGAATTCAGTGGTTGTAACAGCTCTAGGTTGGCAGGCAAGTAGAAATTATTGCTGAATGTTATAAATGTAATTGTATCATATGCAGCATTAATAACATGCAGTTCTGAAATTGTGTATACATAAATTGTAAGAGCAAAATGAAATGGAGAATTAAAGCCTTTTTTTTTTTTAACAAAATCCACCCATCTCTCTCCATTCACTTACATTATTTGACCCCATCTTCACTTTCCATTGCATATATCAATTTTTAGTAACATAATGACATCCAGATCTGTTGCCTATGTTGGACCATAATTCCTTTGCTGGTGTTTGAGGAATATAGGCCAAGGCAAATAGCCATTTAACTTTCTCTCTCTTTCAGGAACTTCTAGGACATGCTTGGAAGAATTACACTGCCATTCTTTTCACCCATGCAGAAAAAATAGAAGAGGCTGGGTTCAGTGAAGATAAATACTTGCATGGGGCCTCCGATACACTGCTAACTCTGCTAAATTCTGTACAGCGCAGATATATTTTCCAGTATAAAAAAGGAAACTCACTTAATGAACAAAGAATAAAAATCTTAGAAAGAATCATGGAATTTATAAAAGAAAATTGTTACCAAGTTCTTACCTTTAAATAAAATTTAGATAAAGGGAAAAGAGCTTTGGGCTTTAGAGTCAGAAACCTTGTTTCAAAAGTGCCTTTGTCAGAATGGTTGAGGACTGTCAGAATTCCCATAGCCTGCTACTGAGAGTGTGCATTGGTATAACCACTTTGGACAACTGTTTGGCTGTTAAAAAGAAATTAAAGGAAGCAAGACTTCTAATGCAAATCCTATGACACAGCAATTGCCCTATAATTATATATCCAGCAGAAATGTGTAGATTTGTACACTAAAAGACATGTATGTACAAGAATGCTCTTGGTAATACTATTCATAATAGCCAAATAGCTATCAGTAATTATCCAAAAGTCCATTAACAGGAATATAGATAAGCAAATTGAGGTATATTCAATGGAGTATTTATATAATAATGAGAATGAGCAAACTACAACCACATGTAACAATACCAATGAATTGTCCAAACATAAAATTGAATGAAACAGTATATACTATTCTGTTCAAAAACAGTCAAAACTGATGTAATATAAACTACTCTGATGTTAGAAGGAGAGGTCACTCTTGGGGAGGGGACAGTGAGCATGCACTGGGCAGCTTCTGAGAGTCTGGTAATATTTAGCTTTTTGATCTGGAGGTTAGTTTGAGTGCTCACTTTGTAAAAATTCAATAAACACTTTTGATTCATAAACTGTTTAGTATATATATTTGAATGAAATTTAAGATGAATCAATTATTATCTATATTTTAAAAACTAGTTCCACCAATTACTTGATGCTAGACAACGAAAATTATTTAATCCTGTGAAAGGCCTCATTTGGAATATCTAATGGATAGTTGGATAGTTACTGTAATGATGCTCAAAAAATGTTAACTTTCTTTTCCACTTTTTTATAACCTGTGGTTCGTATTTAGGGTTGGAAATATAGGTAAAAATTCAGAGCCAAGCCCTGCAGCACAAACAAGGGTAACAATATTACTGTATTAACCAAATAAGAATAAAGCCTGGACTTAAAAAGAGGCCTCCTCTACCTTGTAAGGTTGGTCATGTTGGCTTAGTAGAGACAATGGTCTAAAAGGCAGCAGAGAGGACTGAAGGAAAATAATTCTAGTCAATCATAGCCAAGTCTACCACCAAATCAAAATTGGATCATCCTCATGTTTAACATTGGTATATGAGCTTTATAATTTATAAAACTTTCACTAAAATAGTGAAATTAATTTGTAAGTTGTTTTAAGTGTGCAATTCACTGTATTTCCTATTAGAAACAGGATTGTAGCTCATGATTATCCTCCCAGACTAGTCCTCATAAGCCTACTTAATGCTTAATTTTACCTGAACTCTAGCACAAATGGTATTAGAAAGCCTAACACCAAAATTTGTAAAATGCTTCTATGTGAAAGCATAATTCAAATTCCAACTTGAAACAGTATCTCTATTTCTCTGCAGGGCCCAACAATGGGGCTGAGTTTAAGAACTAAATAGGAATTGACACTTCCCCAGGGGTTGCTCCCTTCGTGCAGATAATGAGATTTGAGGCTGCAAAGCTGAAACTGGAGTGTCGAAGGGAGTGGAAAATTCAGGTACTAAGTCCTTCATATCTTTCATTCATGTGACATCAGCTAACTCTTCTAGGATATAAATAATACTAGTTTCAGGAAAGATAGGTTGTGGAGAACATTCAGGGGTTCAAGACCTCTGAGGCCAACCTGATTAATACAGGAAAGGTGCCTCCAGTTTCAAAGAGGAAGACTTCTGTGATGTTTTCCCCTAAATTATGTTTTATATTTGTGTGTGTACACACACACACACACACACACACACACACATATATATATATATAAATATATGTACATTTACATAACTCCCTAATTGTGATACGACATATTTGACTTTCTTTTAGTAGTCTCCTACTCTGCTTTTTTGGTCCGCTTTTACCTCTCTCCTCCTTCCATCTCTCCTCTTCATGCACATCAGCCAATTAGAGAGAGTTCATGTCAACAAGGAGCACCATTCATATTTACCTGCTAGTCCAAGTAATCACACATGGAGTACACACAAACACATGGAGGACTTTTGCCTTTTTAAAAAACATTTCATATCATACTCTCTACAACATCTTTTTTTCACTTAATACAATCTCATAAAAATTCCTCCAACTCTAAAAAGTAGCTTAAATTCATCCCTTTTTACATTTCAGTGTATTTATAACAATTTGTACAACTACTCCTCTATTGACGTGCACCCCAGTTTTTGTCACCAAGAGTCATGCTCTGACAACTATTCGTGTGTGTGTGTGTGTGTGTGTGCGTGCATAAGATTGACGTTTTCCTGTAAGTTATATTTCCAAGAGTGGAGTTTCTGGGTGGAGGTATACATACCTTTTAATTTCAATATATCTTACCCAGTTTCTCTTCATAGTGTCACAAACTTTATTTACACCAACATTTGAGTACCCTTTTCTATATTTTTGTCATCAGTTGGTGTTATCACCTTAAATACCTACTGCTAACACCAGTTTGATAAATGTTAAATTATCTTACCTTAATTTGCATTTCCCAAACTACTATTCAATTAGACTATCTTTATAAGCACGCTGCTCATTTAGATTTGCTCCTCTATGAATTGCCTCTTCACATTATCCTTTTTATCATTTTCCTATTGGATTACTTCTTATAATGATTCTTTGCTTGACCAAAACTTTAGTCAGGCTTAAACGTCTTCTAGGCCCGCCTGTGCATTTGCTTGTAAAATCTAGTCTTAGCAAGAATTCTGATACATTAGTTAAACCAGAACCCTCGACCCTCAGTATCTGATCAGGTTCCTCATCCTCCATCAACTCCAAAGTGACCACTGATTCCCCACCCTGCTCCTTGGGGTGTAAATTCATATCCTTGTCAATTCTCACACTTGGCTGTGCAATATCTGGAGTTGAATCCAATCTCTCTCCCGACTCTAACATCCCACTGCAGTAGTACTTATACCTATCTACACAATCCTGAATAAAGTCTGCCTTATCATCTTTAAAAAGTGTCACTGAATATTTTTTTTAACACTCCCTGCTTGGCAAAATAGAAGAGCTCTCTGTACAGTACGGATATTAGTCTTCCATCTGTCTTTCACATTGCTATTTTTTCCCTTCTATTATTTATCCCATAACTTCATAAGAATTTATGCCAAACTAAATTTGTGAATTTTCTTATACTCATATACTTCTCTGTATTTGATACAAGATGTGGTTTTAGTTTCATTTCTTTCAGATGGGTAATCAATTATACTTTCTCTAGTTTACTAAATAATTCATCCTTTTCCTACTGAAGATAGACAGACTGAGGTAGGTAGATATATATAGAGAAAGATATCTCCTTTATTTGTGGATCTATTCTGGATTCTTATTTCTTTCTGTTATCTATTTTATACCGCCGATACCAGAATGATTTAATTAAAATGGCTCTGTATCATTCCTTGCTATCTAGAACAAGTTTCTCTTATTTGAAAATATTTTGCTAGATATTCTCAGGCATTCATTTATGTATTTTTTAGATTTTTCCTAATTAAAAAAACTTGTGTTATGAAAAATATTTTGTGATATTAAATTCTCCCATGCAAGCATATTGGATGTTTCTCCATCATACTTTATGTTTAATTATTTTATACTACTGTATTTCTTACAGTTTTCTTTTCCTTTACCAAATCAGTTTTGCTGATCCTTGATAATTTCAAAGTTCTACTCTGATATGCATTAAGGATTATTTCCTTATTTCTGAATTCAGAATCAAGCACTATTTGTTTGACAAGGTAACAACTCCTTCCCTAAGAACTTTCTTTCCATAGAGTATTATGCCCTCACCAACTAAGGTAAGACCTGTAGAACACTTTCATTTTCTCCCTATCCTTATCTCCTTCCCATGTCCTACCTAGGAAAGAGGGCTTTGGAATGCTTCTCCTTTCCCCCTATTACCAGATTTTGCTAAGACATTTAATTCAAGATTTTCCTGACAGATTGCCCCTTCTGTTCAAAAGTACTTTCTTACCAACTACATTGACCATTCCTGGTAATTTATCATTTTCTCTTTCAACTTAATATACAAATATTAGAAGGTCCATTGCTCACCACTGTTTCCATCTTCCCTTATCTTTCTTGTCAGTGTGTTTTCCCGAATATACTCTTAATTCTAGTACAGTATCCAAGAGGCATTAAACTCCAGACTTGTTCTTCCATGTACCCTTATGCAGCAGCAATTCTAACTCCTCATAATAATCAGCATAGTGCATGTAGAGAAGTAAGTTGTTAGTTGGTAGTGGGGTAGTTGAATCAAAAGTATGGTGAGACACCACAGTGAACCTCTTGTTGCTGTGCTGTACTCTACTTGAAGTTGGGTTGTTTAGCTTTTTTTTTTTTTTTTTTATGACAGTACATGTGTACCCACTGAATAAACTAATCATAACTGGAGATAATTACAACTTGTGACAAAAGAACCATGTGACCAAAATTAGCTCTACGTAAAAGAAATGATATCCAGAAAGTTCATCTTTGGTGTCCTGCCACCTATCCCATTAGTCCATAATTTGCAATCTTCCCTCATGTCCCTTCAGAGGCCCAAACTATATGCTATTCTCACCTGGAAGACAAAAGTCTCTACCAAACTTTGTATTTGAAAGTTTTGAACATTTTAGAGGACTGGAAGATGGTATACTTGATATTTTTGTGTAGCTGAGTTTAGAGTCTCATTAGCACATACCATCTTGGGACATTGGTGATTCACGCCTAATACTAATTAGCTCTGACCTTTACTAGGTTTATTCTTCTAAATAGATTACCTCAATTAGCAATTTCAGATTTGCTTTTACTTATGTTTATACTCTGCCATATTTTTCATTAAGAATTTGTTTAGATTTTCTGTTCTACTGTGTTTCAGGCATATTACCAATGTGCCTCAGGCACATTCAGGTATATTCTTTATAAAAGGCCAATGTTTTTAAATGACATCGCTATTCCCCAAATCCTCAAACCTTATTTTTAATAATAAATGTATTCATAAGCACCTGAAGTTTTTGTTTTCCATTTATGTGCTGTTTTAAGAGAAAATGTTATCTTTTCATGTGACAACTGAAGTTTTAGAAAAAGGTTATTTTTACCAACATTATTATTCTCTTTTGTTAACCTCTAAAAGTGACTTTTACTTTGTATTTTTCTTAAATCTTTTTCAAAGAGAAATTAAATTGTGGTGTTGATTTTGGATAACTCCTATACTGTTCTTTCCACATTCCCCAGGTGTAAAAAGTTGAATGGGTTTTAAACTAACAAGTATCAGCCAAATATGCAATCTTAGAGCTGAAAAGTTAAGTGGATGTTATGTATTGAGAGCATTTCTCTACTGGGATGTATAATATTCTAATGAGGCAATTTACAAAACAAATGTAAAACCGTTAAGAGCAACCTTGATATGAAGGCTCCTCACAAAAATGCCATTGCAGAAATGAGCAGACATTAATAATTGCTATTTGAACAATTCTTCAGGTATTATGTAGCAATGGGAAAGGCAAGGAAGAGCAGTTAGCTCCTTCATTAAAAACGATTATTCTTTTTTCTTACAATTATTGAGTCCCAGGCTTGTTTCTGCTGCTGTTGCTAAGGACAATAGCCTGCCAGATAGGAAATGATGTTGATGGAGACATAAAATAACACTTACACACATATTTTACTAAAAAATCCAGAGAATTGGGAATAGTGTATGCTAGGCGGGGGGTGGGAGTAAGGAAGGGGAAGGAAAAAAAATAAACAAGGGAATACATAAGGGTGAAAAAATATAATATACAATAATTAATTCACACTCTGAAATTCCAGATGGCTCACTTTCAAACCAGCAATTATTTCATTGTTCTGGGTCCTTTTTCCAAAATTTTTTTGGAGTTATACCCCTATGAATTATCTCTGCCAAGATTTATCCAAAGGAAAAACCAGAACTATAAAAAGTGCAGTAAGCAAGAATGTGTAAGCCACTCTTTTTCATTCCAACAAGTTGGTATCTGAATGTCTGGTTTTGTATAGAGGTATATTAGCCATCAGTTACCTTCCTTCTTGTCATTATCACTGCAAATTTTGGGATTATCATCCAAACGGTACTGCAAATGAGGTGTAACTATAGAGTTGCTCCTGGATTAAATAATTAAATATTACTTATATCTATCTATCTATCTATCTATCTATCTATCTATCTATCTATCTATCAGAACTTAGTGACTTCTCTCATAGGTTGGCTTTTGGGATGGCCAGTCAGGATCAGTGCCCTCAACAGTACACTATTCATAGAATCAAGCCAACTACTACCAGCAGCAGCAGCCTTGTTTTACCAAGAGATTCTTCCTAAGAACTTCTGCAACAAAAAGAAGAAAGTTGGTAAATTATCTTTGTAACCAACCACTCCAAAGCAATGTTTAATGAATGATCTCACTTCTCTCTTTAGAATCTCTTAAATACTCCACTAAAGGAGTCACCCTAATCTCCTTACATGAACTACTACAGTTTAGGGAGTTTATCACTATCTTTTCCTAAAGTTTAAACAGAAGAAAAGTTGTTTCTCATGCAAATACAAGAAACCACAGGGCATTTAAGTGACACATAAGGTAGTATATTGTAATGGAGAAGAGCACAGGATTAGTTAAAAACTGGAAGAAGATCTAGGTTTCAGCTAGGTACACTAAGCACAGGCATTTATTTAACTTTTCTGTTGGTTCTTTAGGGTAAATGAAATGGCTGGTCTACCTCTATAGAGTTAAGAAACAGGTAAGATGTGTGAAACTATTTTGTTAGCTATAAAGCACTAAATATCTTAATAATAATTCTATAATAAAAATCCATAATAGCAGAGAAATATGAATATACTCCCCTCCCCCAACTTTTGTTAGAAAAGGGCATGGTTTATTCCTTAATTGAAATTTTGGAGAGTAAAGGTTTCTCCACAGAACAGTAATTTGCAATATTATTGTTAGTTGAGTTACATTAATTTTCCTCCATAGTTTTTATTTGGTATTTTGGTGATAAAGTTTTAGTTTTTTACATTGTTGCATAATGCTCAGAGTGTCACAGTTTATGTGGCTAAAGTATACCCTTAGTATTGAGCACTTCTGATATTTTTATTTTTTTAAAGGTACAACATATAATTTCCCTGGAAAGCTGAGGTATACTCATATCCTTTTAATGTTCCTGTTACACGCAATAGTGATATGCTTCCCCACTGACCAAGAACTTGAAAAGAGAATTGCTTCTATTTATAATAAACTAAAACACAATAGTGAGAAATATTGTCTTCCTAGTATAAGAAAATTGCAAAACTATTTAAAACTTTATCATTAATATTAAACCAGTCAAAGGGCATCAATGAACATGAATGGTATCTAAATATCTAAACAACAGATTTCAGTGGGAAATTTTCAGTAATGTAGTAATGAACATCTCCAGCAAGGTAACAGATACTATATCTGGTACAAAAAAATAATAGAGTCTGTTAAAAAACAGGACCTCAGTCTGTATGAAATATTCCTTAAGATTCTCTGCTCACTTCATATACACTGAGTAACGTTCTGAACAAGAATTTAACTTCTCAGGAAATCTCAAGAACAGTAGTTTCTGGAAAAGGAATATCTCTACCATAAACTAATATCAACATGATATGTATCTATTATACAATAGGAACTGTCTTAAGTACTCTAGGTACTAAACTCCCACACTCTTTACAACTCTAAGATAAGTACTTTACTGTACCCATCTTAAACAAGGGGAATAGAGTACATATAGGCTAAACAGTTACCCTAGCTTACATATGCATTTAAGTTGTACAGCCAGAAATCAAAACTAGATAATCTGGTGTCAAAACCAATACTAAGCTCTTTGGATATCTTAGCATCTCTGACAGTCATCTACAAATGCAGGCTTTTGGACCTGCAAAGCCAAGGCCAAGACTCTGGGACCTGGTTAAACTCCCTAATGTTGCTTGACACAGTCTTATCCACACCCTCTGTCTTGCTGACATGCTTCTTATTAAACTTCAATGAGTTACTTTGAATATTCTGTAGATAGTCTAAACAGAAATTTACATATTTTTAAAAAGCAATGATAAATCATGTTTGGTGGGCACTTATTCTTGTATCCTAGAGTACCTAATGCTTTTAGTGAAAGGCGGAGAAAAAATTTTCAATTTTATATTAAAATAAACATGCCCTGAAAATGACTAATCTCAAAGCAATAATACACATGGAATTTCTAAATATAAGAAAAATTAGTACTCCCAATATTCACAGTAAGATAGTGGGCCAATCTTGCTTAAGAAAGCATCCTGTGATTGGGTCAACTTCATTGATTTATTATTTTCTGGTTTAAATAGAGGCTGAAAGGCACCAACTGTTTAGGCTGTGACCTAACACTATCTTCTACCATTGAAATCCTTAAAGGGCTGAATACTAGTCAGAAGCCAAAAGGTTTATGTACAGTTCACTACCAATGCCATTTTTGTTGTTGTTGATTCCATAAGAACTCTCTTATCCCAGTGACACAAATAGAATTCTTTTTCCTGTAAAAACAATGACTAATAATGGGGCTACGTTGATGACTTGATTAATGTTTTATGTAATTTTAAAACCTGGGAACAAATATTTCAATTATCTAAGTAGTTGAAACATTCTTTAATTTATATTAGAATATTTAAAGAAATTTAATTGGGAAAAATTAGAAAATACAGAATCACGAAAGATTTTATAACAGTCTTATTTCCAAAAGAATAATTTATCCTGAGTACAAAATAACTTTTGAGTTTCATTTGTATTTACTTGTCAATTGTTGCTATTGTTGCTCTGTTAATATTTGGTTTTTCAGCAAGAAGATAAAACTGGCCTACCAGAACTCCATGGACTTAAATAAATGAAATTTAATTATACCTTTCATAAACTGGCATGCAGGGTTGTTTTAAATTTATTTTGCCTCTCTTTCTGATTAGAGACTATAAGCAGCTAGATATTGTATGTATGATTTTTCTTTCAAACAATATCTATACTCCTACCTCCAGAGATGCATTTCTTTTTGGTAGCCCTCATCAGTCATCATCTCAAGGCTGGTGAACTTGAAAGCTCATAATTCCTAAGTTAATTTTCATTGTTCCTACAATATCTGTAAGATGAGTGAAAATAGGCATTTGACACCTTAATACATATATATGTTAACTTTGGTAACAATTTCTTTTAACATACTGACAGTGTGATGGTACATGAAAAAGCAAAATATATTGATTTTAAATACTCTTCTAAAACGTTAACAATCTATAATTAATCTTGTATTAGGTACCCAAAGAATCTTTACAACCATCTAGACTAAAAAATTTAGACTGCTGCTTTTACATCAATTTATCGCAAAGTGTATTGGCAACACTTTGCAAAATGTTTATTCTTTATAGTTAGTTGAAATTTATTACTAATTATTTTGTCAAATGGAAAGAAAGTCCAGTATACAACTGAAAATTTCACCCTTAAAAAAAGTCACCTTTACAGGTCTGATTACTTTGGTAAGCAACAGCAATAATGTTGAAGTACCACATCTCCTAGTTTTTATGATGTTTGGCTCTCTAGTTGGCCATTTTCAATATTATTACAATATGATTAATTAATAAGACTGACAAAAATTCCAACTTGTCACTTTTGAAGAGGAGAGGACATTTATAATACAGACATACAATATACTAAAAATCCAAAGGCTTAAAATTTCATGTACCATGTGCCTACAAACAGGAAACTAAATGTTCATCTAGTTCAAGTTATCTAAATGTATCAAGAAAAATAATCTGCTAACCAACATCCCTGCTAAAAAATAAACAATCACAAAACATAATTGATTTCTTTCCTACATTATACAGGAGCAAAAATTGCAAGTAAAAATGTAGTGCTTCTTTAACTGACTGAAAATAATATATACCTGATTAAAAGACTAGTCAAGTCTAGAAGAGAAATAACATAAAAAAGCCAGTTATATTTTAGGCACAAGTGACAAATATATTTCTTTTTATTGTTATTAAAGTTTTCTCCAATGTATTTCAGTAAATGAGTATTTTATTTTATTTTATTTTATTTTATTTTATTTTATTTTATTCCACTGTTGGTCATAGTTTGAGCCCTACACACTCCCTTCCCTTTCACCTCAAAGGGAACTCCTTTGTATGTAGCCACACACTCATCATTAGTGCAGAGATCTGGCTGGATCTGCTCCCAAATCTTCTTCTTAGGATTTAGCTCCTTGTCAGGCTCTCCTATTGAGGAGAAGAAAAAAAAAATTACATAGCTAAAATATGAAATAAATTATCCAGAGAGATTTCTAGTGTATTTTAACACTTACTTTTAACATATACTTTATTTTTATGACATGAGAAGTTTATATTTTTGATTTGTAAAATAAAGCATTTGACATTTCCTAACATGCCTTCTCCTTTGGCATGTTTAGTTGTGATTTTTAACAGATATCCCTGCAGTTGAAGATGATACTTTTAAAATAACATTCTCTCCTAATGATGACTTGAGCCCTGACACTCAATGGGAGAATCGGCAGAATCTGTAGGATCTTATTTGGAATTGACATTCTCTATTCCTGTTAATTTTTTAAAAATTCTTTTAAACATTTATTTATTTTTAAGAGACAGAGAAAGACAAAGCATGAGCAGGGGAGGGGCAGAGAGAGACACACACACACACACACACAGAATCCAAAGCAGTCTCCAGGTTCCAAGCTGTCAGCACAGAGCCCAACGTGGGGCTTGAACTCACAAATTGTGAGATCATGACCTGAGCTGAAGTCAGACGCTTAACTGACTGAGCCACCCAGGCGCCCCTATTCTTGTTTGTTTTTAAATTTTCTTTTTGTTTCACTGGAAAGGAAAGATGATGCTCAGTTTTAAATGTTAAAAATGTAAAAATTGCTTTGTTGAAATAAAACTATACACACACACAAATATTTTGACATCTCCTTACAAATGTTCAAGATTACTTTTTACTCTTATAATAAGTATTTTTGCAGGTAATACAGCAAAAAGAATTTATTCTCCAAACTATTAAAATGAAAATATAAGATACTCATTTTATCATTATATATAAAGAAAAACTGTGAAGAGATGAAAAGCATAATTTGATGTTATATATTTACATGTGGTAGAAGCAGCTTATATTTCAATGTACAAAATAAATGATGAGACTGCTGCTACGGTGCTTAAAGATTTTTTTTATCGATATAGGAGAATGGATTAAATGCTAAGATTATCTAAATAAATATAGTAACTACTTTGGGTTTCATGGGCTGCCCATTCCATTTGGTGAGAGGGAAAGAGACAGAAAAAGTTCAGAGACAACGAGTCACATTTTCTAAGCACGAGAAATATATACAAGTTGCGTGCAATGCTCACAACAACACTCTATTTTTAAATATAAGGAAACCGTTGCTCAAAGAAGATAAACTGCTCAAAGTTAGAAGATCAACAAGTGGAGTCAGAATTTGACAACAAAACCCTTATTCTGCTGGCACAGCATCTTGCCTCCTGACACACTATTCTTTAGAAAAGAAACAAGTAACATTCTTACATGTAGATAAAACCTCAACTTCTATCATAACTCACACTAAAAGTTTTTAGTCAACAAAGACAAATGTGTTGTAGAATACATCTGGTCTAGATTTAAGGAACACCAGTATACAAAACAATCCCTCTTAACTTATAAGAAATAGAAAGTAAAGTTTAACATAATACCATTTTAGTAGCTGAGGATGCTCAATAACATTTGGAATAAAGAATCAGTTCAAGAAACAATGAAAAGTAACAGATCTCTTAAACCTAAGTGTGATATAAAATTGGTTTCCAGGAGGTAATAAAAAGAGTATTTCTGAAGTATATAATTCTGTAATGATAGATATCCAACTTTATAGATGTTTTCTAAAGTGACTCCCAAGTTGAAACCTTCTGGAATTAATTTCAAAAGAATCTTTTACCATTACTGGAACTAATTATATTCTATACTCTAATTATACCTTATGACCTAAACTAGTTTTTACTCTGCACTCATACAACAGGTAAAACAAAACTGAGTAAAATTGTCAGCCACTGTGGTTTTTGTTCTTTATTAGCTCTTCAGGAACTGCCATGAAACTGGCAAGAACATATAAAACTGTCCTCTGATATGCAGGTTTTCAGAGATGACAGAATAGTTAATTGAATGATGTATCTATACCAAAAGAACAAGCAATGAAACCAAAACTGAAAGACTAGTATAAAAGATAAGGATTGCTCTTATTAAGAGCGTTTGACTTGACAGCAGAAAAACTAATTAATAAACAGAAAAAAAAATGCTAATATATCAAGTATCTACAGAAAAAAATACTAACATATAAAGTATCTTTATTTTTTGTTTTTAAACATTTCTATTTTTTGTTTCTAAGCCATTCCTTAGTCTAAAAGTTTACTTTGCTTGTGTATAGATCATGTCAGGAAGTGGGCGTTCCAGAATCCTAGAAAGCTGGAGGCAGAGAAACTGTTTAGAGGCCTGAGTACCAACTCTTAATTCCCCCAACTCTCCCAAAAAACACATTGCCAAACTGATAACAGATTAATTCAAGAGGCACAGCATCCCAGATTTGTGTGAAATTCTTATCAAAAGCACAGATTGTGTGAGTTCTTGTTAAATGCAGACAATAAGCTCCAAATACAAAAAAAAAAAAAAAAAAAAAACTGTGATGCAGCACAAAATTAAGCTTCACAGAACTAGTAAGATATTGACATGCACACAAAATAATATTCATAACACATAATACATAGTGCTTATCATGGGCTGTTTGCTACACTAAAGGCTTTACAAATATTTACTCGTTCAATCCTCTCAGTACAATACATAAATACTATTAATTACCCTCGTTTAGGAAAAACATTCAGCCAAGAATTCTTTATCCAGCAAGGCTGTCATTCAGAATAGGAGAGATAAAGAGTTTCCCAGACAAATAAAAACTAAAGGAGTTCATGACCACTAAACCAGCCCTGCAAGAAATCTTAAGGGCGATGTTTTGATTGGAGGAAAAAAAGACCAAAAGCAACAAAGACCAGAAAGGACCAGAGAGCATCACCACAAACACTAACTCTACAGGTAATACAATGGCACTAAATTCATACCTTTCAACAATCACTCTGAATGTAAACGGACTAAATGCTCCAATCAGAAGACATAGGGTATCAGAATGGATAAAAAGACAAGATCCATCTATATGTTGTCCACAAGACTCATTTTAGACCTAAAGACACCTGAAGTTTGAAAGTAAGGGGATGGAGAACCACCTATCATGCTAATGGTTGTCAAAAGAAAGCCAGAGTACCCACACCTATATCAGATGAACTAGATTTTAAACCAAACACTGTAACAAGAGATGAAGCAGGGTATTACATCATAATTAAGGGATCTATCCATCAAGAAGATGTAATAATTATAAATATTTATGCCCCTAACTTGCAAGCACCCAAATATATAAATCAATTAATAACAAACATAAAGAAACTCATTGAAAATAATACAATAATAGTAGGGGACTTTAACACTCCACTTACAACAATGGACAGATCATCTAAGCAGAAAATCAACAAGGAAACAATGGCTTTGAATGACACACTGGACTGGATGGATTTAACGGATATATTCAGAACATTTCATCCTAACGCAGAATATGCATTCTTTTTGAGTGCACATGGAACATTCTCCAGAAGAGATCACCTACTAGGTCACATCAGCCCTCAACAAGTACAAAAAGACTGAGATCATACCATGCACATTTTCAGATCACAATGCTATGAAACTTGAAGTCAACCACAAGACAAAACTGTAAAGCCCTCAAATACATGAACATAAAGAACATCCTACTAAAGAATGAATGAGTAAACCAGGAAATTAAAGAAGAAATTAAAAAAAAATACATGGAAACAAATGAAAATGCAAATTGGACAGTCCAAAACTTCTGGGATACAGCAAAGGCAGTCCTAAGAGGGAAGCATACTGAAATTCAGGCCTATTTCAAGAAGCAAGTAAAGTCCCAAATACATAACCTAACCATAACACCTAAGGAGCTAGAAACGAAAGAGCAAATAAAGTCTACAGGCAGCAGAAAAAGGGAAATAATAAAGATTAGAGCAGAAATAAATGATACGGTAACAAAAAACAAATCAGAACAAATCAATGAAACTAAGACTCTTTGGAAGATTAACAAAATTGATAAACCCCTTGCTAGACTTACTAAAAAGAAGAGAAAGGACCCAAGTAGATAAAATCACGAATGGCAGAGGAGAGATCACAACCAACACCACAGAAATACAAAGAATTATAAGAGAATGCTATGAAAAATTATATGCCAACAAATTGGGCAATCTGGAAGAAACAGGCAAATTCCAGATACTCACAAACTACCAAAAATGAAACAGAAAGAAATAGAAAATTTCAACAGACCATAACCAGCAAAGAAATTGAATCAGTAATCAAACCATCTCCCAACAAACAAGAGTCCTGAGCCAGATGACTTCCCAGGGAAATTCTACCAGATATTTAAAGAAGAGTTAATACCTATTTTCAAACTGTTCCAAAAAATAGAAATGGAAAGAAAACCTCCAAACTCATTCTTACAAGGCCAGCATTACCTTGGTTCCAAAACCAGACAAAGACCCCACTAAAAAGGAGAATTACAGGCCAATATCCCTGATGAACATGGATGCAAAGATTCTCAATAAAATATTAGCAAATCAAATTTGCTAGAAGTACATTAAAAAAATTATTCACCATGATCAAGTGGGATTAAGTCTTGGGCTGCAGAGCTGGTTCAATATTCATAAACAAATCAGTTCATTAATGTGATACATTATACTGTTTTCTCAATAGATGCAAAAAAAGCATTTGACAAAATACAGCTTCCATTCTTCATAAAAACCCTCAACAAAGAAGGAATAGATGGAACATAATTGAACATCATAAAGGCCATATATGAAAGACCTACAGTTAATATCATCCTCAATGGGGCAACACTGAGAGCCTTTCCCCTAAGGTCAGGAACAAGACAAGGATGTCTACCATCACCTTTACTATTTAACCTGGTACTGAAAGTCTTAGCCTCAATCAGATAACAAGAAGAAATAAAAGGCATCTAAATCAGCAAGTAAGAGGTCAAACTTTCACCATTTGCAGCTGACATGATAGTCTATGTAGAAAACCTGAAAGACTCTACCAAAAAATTGCTAGAACTAAT